AGGAGGATGAGGAGGATAAGGATGAGGAGGAAGGAGGAAAAGAAGAAGCAGGCGGAGAAGGAGGAGGAGGACGAGAAGAAGGAGGAGGAGGAGGAGGAGGAGGAGGAAGAAGAAGAAGGAGGAGGAGGAGGAGGAGGAGGAGGAGCAGGAGGAAGGAGGAGGAGAAGAAGAAGACGACGACGAAGAAGAAGAAGAAGTTCCACAGCTAGAAACATTCTCGCGCAGGCACCCGGGCGTGAAAAAAGAAAAGAAAAGATGGTTTTTTTTTTTTTTTGGGGGGGGGGGGTTCTGTGCTCTCCCAGAGGACGCACAATGAGGGCTCGTTCCTTTTCTTGCGAGTTGGCTGTCAAGGGGGGCCGGGGAGGGGAGGGTATAAATTGGTTTGAAAGGGGCTAATGTGACCCTCAACCAAAAGTCGTTTGTATTGCGATTCTACACAACATATTTTTTCCCCGTTATTATTATTATTATTTTTTGCGCTGGGGCTGCCCGGGACCCTGCCCGGGGGTTGTGCCCGCCCAGGCACCCGGGCGAGTACCCGGGCATAAGTTGCATGCCCGGGCCCCCCGAAAACCAGCTTAAGTCCACAGGGTATATCAAGACGTTTTCCAATATGACGTTCCAATTGAGTAGCAAAGATTTTAGCAGGCTCAATCCTAGCAATCATGTTTCCTACTTCTGTATGGTCATCATCTGTTCTTAAGATTTTCATCACCATGTTCTTGTACTTCTTCTCTAAACCAATGAGCATCATGTTCGCAATAAGTACCACCCGCGCATGCTACACGAATTCCCATCTCCCTAGCTAATATTTTTGTCATATAAGCTGCATGAGTGCCATCTCCAAAAAAAAACAATTGCCTTTTTTGCTTGTCAAATTCTGACAATCAATAGATCGAGAAAACCACGCTGCTCGAAATACGAGTTTGCTTATCCATCTAAGATTCAAAATCCATTGGTTTTTCAAATGTAGAAACTTTTTTTTTTTTTTTTTTTTAATTT